GGGAGGGAAGAAAATTCACCACAAGTTAAACTCCAGTTGATCAAAACAATACCAGTGTGGGCTGTGATCCCCCTCTTCCCCCCTCCAGACCCACAGCAGGACCAGGACACAAACAACAGGGGACAGAGTCTCAGTGCTATTATTCTCCAGCCTCTTAGGCCAGGTCCTTTGGCACATTGAAGGTCAGCAGCAAATCCAAATGTTTTTACCTGAGGCTCCAAATTCTTAACCTTTGTTCCCTAAAGAGGCTGCAAACCAAACACAGGAACAAAACCTCTATTTTTGTTCTTTCACTGGTGCAAACAAAACAATCGGGGGAGCTCTTTCTACTTGAATACCTGCATATTACATTGTATTTTAATTTTTTTTTTTTTCGGGTATCCAAAGAAGTTTACATGTAAAGTTTGAGTGGATTCTATGTATGTAACGTGTAAATGTGGCTGAGTTAAAGACCTATTTAATTTTCTAGCTGTGGATGAGGTTCAGTGCTGCAGAATGGGCAGCTGTCTGCACATTCATGAGTGTGTTGGTTTGGGTCTTGTAGCTGTCATTGTTTTGTTTCGTTTTTGCTCTGTTTTGGGAAGATTTGTATCCAATAACCCCAAATTTATCTATTTATTCAGAACAAAACTGCACTAGGGAACATCAAAAGCACACATATGCTGGGAGGTCTCCATGCTCTTGAGCTCCTGTGAACACATTGACTTCGAACGTGGTCACCACAGTCTTTTAAACTGAGTTTCAACAGCAATATCTGCAATGTATCAAAAGGGAAGATCCCCTTCCAGCTGATATTAAAGTTCCCTTGGGGTTTCTGTGAGGTTGGACAACTGCAATACACATTCCCATGGAATAATTTCCTTCTCTCTTTCTTTGGTTTAATGGAGGTGATTTTTTTTCCCCCATCGCTGCTGTCCCTTCCAAATCCTTCCTTCCCTGGGGCCCTTTATCCAGGAGGGTTCCAGACTGCTGGCTGTCTCTAGTTCGGGTCAGGCACCTGCAAACACCTAATCCTTGAGCAAAGTCTCCCCAGTGTTTGTCAGGCAGCGAGACCTGGCTGGAGGTTTAAAGCCAAAGCTCATCGAACTTTGCTTCAGCACCACGTCCTGGAAAGGTGCTCTGTAAAATCAGTCATGGAATCACAGGGTCACTGAATGGTTTGGGTTGGAAGGGACCCCCAGAAACACCTGGTTTTAACACCCTGCCATGGGCAGGGACACCTTCCACTATCCCAGGTTGTTCCAAGCCCCGTCCAACCTGGCCTTGGACACTTCCAGGGATCCAGGGGCAGCCACAGCTTCTCTGGGCAACTTCTCTGCAGCCCTGTGGCTGCAGCTTTTCCTGGCAGGTTCTGGGCACAGCTCTGGGGCAAGGGACAGTGTCCCACAGCCCCTATCTGTCCTGACTTCAGAGGGTTGCACAGCTTTTCTAGGCCGCTATAATAATGCAGATCAATTAATGTTTGTGGACCAGCCCTAAAATATTCCCAAACCAGCCCCCACAAGCATCAAATTGGTGATGACCAAACCCAAGTCCCTCTGCACGGCCTCTTTTCCCTGTTGAGTCACTGGTTTTGCTGGCCATTGGTTTTTCCCTGATGGTTTCCTATCTGGGTGGATCCATAGCAGGTAGGAACAGGATGTTTGTGACTGTGAAAACCCCCAAACCCCCACTCTCCTGCTTTTCCTCCAACACCTTTCTCAGCAGACTCAGGATTTAAAAATAGAGGGTTTCCTCAGAGCAGCACTAGATGTCTCTGTGCAGGTTGCATTGAATTGGAAATTAGTACCTGAAAGCGCACAAAACACCTCTTATTTCCTGAAAAAATGTATTCATCCTTCATCCTGGCTGCAGCAGGAATTCGATGGGGACCAGGTCATCCACAAAAGGCAGGTCCAGTGCTCCAGAGCTGCCAGCAAGGCTGTGCACATCCTTCTGGTCACAGGATAGCTCTGCCTTTATTCACAGAGGCAGATGAAAGGCATGAGAAGACACTGGCTGCCAACAATTCACTCTCTGACAAATGATCTCTCCACCCCCCTCACTCCCTCCAAGTGTTAAAAGTCCCGAATCAGGTGTCTCCCCCCCACTTTTTCCATAGCTGGAAAGCCAGAGCAGTGATTGACACACTGTGGGCTGCTGGATTTCTCTCTGCTTTCTTAATTCCAAGCCAGAATTTCAACCCTTTTTTTTCCTCAAAGAATAAACAAGAGAGAGATGTATAAAAAAAAAAAAAATAAAAATAAAGTGGAGCTTGCAACCTGCTCCTCTGGCTTCAGGAAAAGGGAGAAAAGCCTCTGTAACGAACACAAGGTGTAGCAAGTGAGCCCCGCTGCCCATCTTTCTGTCGTCTTTACAAAGGCACTCGGGGTTTGGGGAATTCCTTGGGGAGCAGTTTTGTATGGACGGCTGAGGTTTGGGAAGGACCCTCTGGGCAAACCCGCTCCCAGGACACCAGGAGGATGTGCAGGATCTGCTCTGGTCTGCGACGAGCAACTCCCTCACTGCCCTGTGGGTGGGGGAATCCACCAGAATATGTCAGGCTCGCAGGGCTGCCCAAGCGACCCCAGCAACTGGCGCTTCTGTCAGTCCGAGATAAGAGGGGGGTCGCTGCTCCCCCCCGGCTCTGGCACAGCACCAAGCCCCCCAAAATCCCTCTGAACTCCACCGAGAAGCCAGTCACGGCTCGGAAACGGCCACGGGAATGTCCGTGGGAAGCTTCGCCCGGGTTTCATCACCGAGAGACGAAGCAAAAGAAATAAAGAGCGAAGGAGCCGCTCCGACAAAAGCGATCGCCGGGAAGAGGTGGGGGAGAGGCTTCTGCTTCCAGCGGGGCTCCGGCACACGGTGTGTCCGGATGAAACACGGAGCCGGTCCCTCGGGGTGCACCTGCCTGACTTTTTCATGCGCTTGGCAAGGCGAGGTGTCAGATGAGGGAGCTACGTGCGGCGGGCAGGGGTGGCACAGGTCCCACCTCCGGCCCCGACGCCCTGTCCGGAGCCCGGAGAGCCGCCCCGAGGATGCACCGAAAGGTCGCTGCTGTTGCCGTGGCTGCTGCTGTTGCAAAAAAAAAAGATGGTGAGGTCCCGGCTGCTCCCTCCGGGGTGAGATACAGGCGCATCGGCCTCGCCGTGGAGGGAGAGGAGAGGGCTTAAAAGGTCGGAGAATAAACCAAGCATTAAAATTGCAGGCAAGCCCGGGCTGGTTTCCTTGAGGGACACTGCTGCTTGACTGAGCACAGCACACTCTCCCAGAGCTGATCTCCTGATACCAGCAAGATCTTTTCAGTAATTCCTTTCACTTCTGCAGTCAGCCGAAAACATCCATCTCCTGAAATATTTATCTCACCCACTTCTTCCAGCACAGATCAAAAGGAGTGTGAAATGCACCTGTAACCTGCTGGATCATCTGGCACCTCTGGTAACTTTTAGCAGGCAGAGGTGCCAAATCATACTGACATCTCCCAGTCCAGGCTGTAAAGGATCAGACACCAATTATCACAGAGAGGCAAAGGGTGACAGGCACCTCATGTTACCTGCAGCACAACAGGAGTGCTCAGCTCTCCTGGGAAGAAACAGCACTGGGACAGAGGCATTAAGAGGGTGGGATATACCCCATATCCTTTGGAGTGGGAAAACATGCAGTTGGTGCCACTACACCTTTCCCTGCTTAAGCAGGTCAGGGATAGCCAGGAGCTGCTTTTCCCACCCCAAGTGCCATGTTTGGTTGTGTATGGCTCATCTCTGGATTGGGGCACTGGGAACAGGAGGTCCCCAAAGCCAGGGCATCCCTTAGGAAAGATCCAGCTGATATGGGAACGGGCAGACTCCCCACATGCCAGCGCAGAGCCCCTCCTTGGAGCAGCTAATGGCATCAAAAATGTCTTCAACATTATGGTTTCTGGCCAGAAACCCTCCCAGTTCCAGTGAGACCTCCAAGCCAACTTTGCAATCACTGAGACAGACACAAACCACTCAGCCAAGTATTAAACTCAGTGATTTTTGACACAATCCTTTATTATCTGCCAGCGTTGCACCTGGCAGTACTGTACATGGCCAGGAGGGAAATGAGCTGTTCCTGCACCTGCACAGGGGAAGGGAAAACATTCTTTCCTCCAGATCTCTGTGGCGAGGCTAGAAAACACAAAATCTGAAAAATTCCAACCGAGCAAGCAGGGCTGAGCTCTGCCCTCACCCTGGGGAACTCGCCCTGCGTGAGAACTGCCAGGAAGAGCCAGAGCCCCTGAGGCCTGGCAGGGTCCTGAGATGGCAGTGCCAGAGACCCCTTCCCTGCCTGCTGCCCTCCTCCTCTGCCCTTTCCTGCTGTGACAGCCTCCCAGGAAAGCCCAGCACAATGGAAGTGCCTGATTCCTCCAGCTGTTCCCTGTCTCCCACCCGCCTTCCCCCGGCTGCTGTTCCCACCTGCCACGGAGAAGGCGGGGAGAGCTTCACGGATTACGGCTGGATAAACAGTAAACCAGAGCATATGGAATGCTTCAGCCCCCACTGTGCTCCTGCTTGGTGCAGGGAGCAGGTCTGCTGGGCATTTCTGAGGAGGCAGTGCCAGGTGTTCCTGGATGCAGCCCGGGCTGGAGAGCGGGATCAGGGAGCACGGAGGTGATGAGGGTCGATGGACCGAAGGCAGGAGCTGCTGCTGGGCACGGACTTGTGCTCACTGATCTGTTCAGAGGGCCCTGAGGAGCCGTCTGAAGAGAAGCTGAGAGCTTCTGAGGCAGGAGGGTTCTCTGGAACAGGCTGTTAGCGACATGTGACAGCCAAGATGTGTCTCGGAGGGGCAGGCATGGGGACTGAGCCAAACAGAGGAGACACAGCCCATCTCCCTGCATGCTCTGTCCTCCAGGGCTCCAAAAACCAGCCCATCAGCTCCTGCAGTTTTGTATCAACAGACACATAATGCATTGATTTCTCATTCTTTAAAACTCAGTACTCATTCAGTGGTTTCCCACACCCACCATGCAGACAGAGGAATGTACACAAAAGTAGTAAATGAAATAGAACTTTATTAGAAGCTTCCAGCATGTTTTATCTGTTCTTCTCCTCCACAAAACTCCTCTTACTGGATATACAGCTGCTATAGTCCATATAGAGCCTGTACATCTCTCTCACTACTTACAGTTACATATCTCACTGCACAATTGCACAGTGTGCTCTCTTATCAGCAACAATACATGGTCTTCAGTCCATCCCTACACACATTAAAATTGCATGGCACTCTGCATTACAAGGAAAGAGCTAAACCTCCCCTCTCTAGTTTCATGAGGCAAACATCACCACATCATTCCTATAAAGCTCACAGGCAGATCCACACTGGTATTCTGGGATGATTTTCCTTAGTACCTTTGTGGATCTGGTCCCTGAGTGCTTAATCTCACATTCATGCTGTTACCAGACTTGGGAGTCAAGAAAAACCCTCATGAATAATGCCCTTGAGTGATGAGGAAGGCACTGGAGACAGGGGAGGAACTGAATTGCTTCCTTTTTATTTTTCACCCCACCTTCCATTCTGGGCCCCCTCGAGCCCTTCCCAGGCCCCCAGGTTACAGACTCAGCCACAGCACCCCCTCACCCCACATCTCCCCCAGCCAACTTTCCCCCTCCAGGGTGGGAGGCAGAAGAGGGAACAAGTCATATATCCAGACCCTTTGTGTGGTTTGGGCAGAGCCAAACACGTACACGTGCTTCTTCCTCCTCTCCGACATGCTCCTGTCCTCGTCAGGGCTCTTTCCTGAGACTTCCCTGAGCTCAGCCCCTTCCTCTGCTGCCCCTTTCCATCCTGTGCATCTCCTGCAGAACCCTTCCTGGCTGCCCCTTCCCCAGCTCTGGCTGTGTGACCCCCGTCCATCCTCTGCCTACGGGTTTGGGATGTGTCCTTGCAGCGGGTGCTCCTCACCCACGGGGACAGACGTGGCTCTGGCTCAGCGAGGCTGAGGTGGCTGCATGCTACAGAAACCTTATCTCAGCATCCTGAACTGTTACACTGAACTGTGACTTCTAGGAGTGAATTCCAAGAGGATGAGTCCTCCTGCAGTGAGCCAAAGCAGTCATGGGAGCCCTGGGCTCTGCCAGGAGAGCGGCCCCTTCATCCCCTTTTAGCTGCTGCCCAGCCAGCACATGCTTAGCCAAGCCCCATGTTTGGACAGACAGCTTTTCCCAAAGCTCTCTCCACTCTTCCTTCACAGACATCCCAGCTCTTTCATACCAGTGAAGCACTTTCCCGGTTTCTTTTGCCCTCACCTCCCTCCACCACCACGTCAGTGCCTTCCTTTGCCACCAGGTGACTTGAGCGGGGAGGAGGGATAAGCAGTGCCCTGGAACAGACACTGGCTGCTCCTAGGGAGTGTCCCAGGAGAGTGCAAGGAAAGACCAGAGCCAGCCCAGGCTGGGCTCCCCTTTTCTCCAGTACAGGTACCGACTGCCTACCGTGCCATCAATTCCTGTCACCGGAACGATCCTGCTTCCTGTGACGTCCTGTCCCGTGTAGGGATGGGTCCAGAGAAGTCTTGGTGCTGGGATCCAGGCTTCTCACACTGTCCAAGAACAAAGTCCCCAGTCTCTGCCTCCACCGTGCCCACCTGTCCCCAGGAAGCACCTCCAGTGTGGGCTGAGCCTAAGTCCGGGGTTGTCCTTCTCTGACCTGCCTCCGGAAGTAGCGGATGGCAGAGAGCGTGCCAAAACTTGCCAGGAACACTGGAAAAGAGCCCAACACATTCCCACAGTTAGTCTGGGTGCTTCTTCCAAACCCAAAGATCTTTTTTCCAGACCTGCAGACCACAAGCTGCTTGGCCCACCCTTGGGCCATAGAGGGGTCACTCCCCTCCCTCCCCCAGTCTCCTCCCGCCTTTGTTTTTCATCCCCTCCACACCGAATTTATTCCCAGTGCATTCCCAGACACCCACAGCCTGGCTGCCCACATCTAGTGCTGTAGTTTGGGCACATGGATCACACCACCATTCCACAGCAAATGGCTTTTTTTTCAGGGAAACACTAAATAGGCTCCCTGTGTGGGGTAGGGATGTGCACTGGTTGGATACACAGGTTTAATCCTGGATGAGGAAGACACAGTAGAAAATCTCACCAGGGCTTCAGGACAGTCCCTTCATTTTCTACTCCTGTTTGGATGAAGATGCCAGAAAAGTACCATTTTGTGGATTATCTGGGGATTTTCTGATCCCAGCCAAAAGCAGAAAATACCCAAAACAAAAAATGTAGAGATACAACAAATAACTAATGGGGATTATACACAGAATCAAGCTTTTCTCTGTACTGTCAGCCAATGTTTTTAGCTTGGTTTATAAGAGAGATTAAATTCCCAAGCAAAACTGGGAACCCAAGCCATGCCTTTGGAGTTCCCAGTTTAAATTCAGACTTGATTTTGATTTATGTGTTAGAGGGACAGAAACAGGGAAGTTCAACCGGAACCCAGGATGCCTAAAGAGAATGGCTAGTCCAGGACTAGGTGGAACTGCCTCCCATCTCCCATCCTCACCAGGGTTATGTGATCCCGAGGGCACGAGGACCCGTATCCCACTTTTCTCACCTCCCCGAGGCCACGTCCACCATCCCATACCCAGAAGACAAGGAGGAGCAGGCCAAAAGCTCCTTGTGATGATGGCACTGAGCAGCCTTAGCTAATGAGCTATTCTCAGCCCAGGGTGTCAGCTTCCTGTGTGACCTTAGTGGGGAACATTCCTCCCCCTGGACAAGCAGCAGGAAGCCTCATTCCCAGCATCTCACCCCATGGAAGGGGCTCTCCAGGGCTGGACCCTGCACTCAGCTGCTCCATCCAGGGTAGGAATGAGGAATGCTGCTCTCACTGCCCCATTCCCTGCTCATCCAGCCACCTGCACTCCTGGGGGGACTCAGCAAATTTGTCATTCCCGAGCTTCCTCTCTTCCCACCACCTATCCCAATGTTGTGGTTGGAGAGGAGAGGATCCAACAGAGCTCCATTTACCTGCAGGACTCAGTGCACCAGGATAATACTTCAGCTAAGCTGTATTTAGAAAGAAGGTTATATCTTCATAGCACATTTGAAAAAACACATGCACTTGTTCCAGCTGAGATGAGGGAGCCTAAACCTGCACACTCCAGGTCCTAATCCCACTGCTAGCCAGCACGGATCCTAAAGAAGCCTCTCTTCTCCTGACAAACTGCTCCTGGTCCCTGTCAGCAGCAGGGCCAAGGCTGGGGATAGACTTGTCCTACAGCTCAGCTCCTGTCAGCAGCCACTTGGTGTGGGGAAAGGACGATGTGAGTGAGCAGGAATCAGGGCTGCCACTCCACGAGAGAGGCAAGGCATTAAAAGGACACTTCTCTGGAAAAGCAGGGAAGTGCCTGCACTTTCCCACAGGCAGCAGTGGGTGTATTTGTATCCCCTGCCTTTCTCCCTGCCAAGTCTTCCATGAAGTCATTCCCGCCCCTCTCCCGGGCCGGGCACTGTACGTACTGGTCTTCCAGGCATCCGGAGCCTGCAGGTCAGATGTCTTCACTGCCCAGGATGCAAAGGCACAGAACACCAGGCACATGTCTTTGTGGGTCAGCACTCGTGGATCCTCTGCTGTCCCTGCCAGAAGAGGAGCACGAGGTTTGGGGTTTTATGCCACAGCCCCCGTGTGTCCCCCCGGGACGCGAGTCCCTCGCGCTCCCAGGGAGTCACGTCGTTGTCACACATTTTCCCCTCCCTGGAGACTTTTTTTCCCACCGTTTGTCAAGTCAAATGTGTCTATTTAGGACTCAGTTATGTTTCCTAAGGTGAGGGGCGCATTTTTCACCCCTCTCAGTTTTAGACTTTCTTAAGACCCTGAGGCAAATGTTTGTTAATGCCCCCCCAGGATCTGTGGCTGCCTCACACCTCCCTGTGTATCTTCCCAGAGCAGTGTGGCGGCTGGAAGTGGGTCTGGTGAGTAGATTTAGGAGAAAGTGATTCCTGAGGACCTCTGGGCAAGGGCCCCTTCCTGCCAGACAGTGCCCAAAGGCACACACTGCTTTAGGACAACATCCATTCCCCTGAGAAGCACCAGTGCTCAGCATCTCACTGATCCCACCCCACTCCCACCTCCTGCTAAGTCCGGGGAGGGGGACATCCCTGAGTGCTCTAAATTTCCTCCCCTGACAGATTTCCAGCCTGGAACTTCATGCTGTAAGAGTAGGTTATTTTTGCTCCCATGTTTATTTGATCAGGCCTTTAATTAAAACTGACTTCCCAATTATCTGTGACCACGGCAAAGGGGCTTTTCTCCTTGCAAACCAACTGGAAGCTCTATTTTGAGGCACCCTTTGGAATGACTCACTCATTGTTTGGGTTTAATATTAACTACGAGGCCCTGTGGCTCCAAGCATCATATAAGCTTTAAGACAAATACACTGGCTGTCCTCGTGGGTCAAACTTCTCTCCCTTTATTCCTGTTTCTCTCACTTGCCTCCAGGAACAGTCAACGTTCAGGTGACCTCTGGAAGGTGTTTTTTGAATTAAGAGCATGTTTTTAAAAGTCCCAGATTCCCAGATTCCCATGCCTGCTGCAGTGCTGGGAGCCAGCCTGCAGGACCTGGCCAGCAGCACTCGCTTGGCACGGGGACAGTGGGAGCATCCCAAGGGAGAGCCAGCGTGACACAGTATGGGACACATCCCTGCAGGGGATAAGATGCTTTACCTCTCAGTGCAAGGGCCATCTCCTCACCCTCTGGCCACACTTGGCCTCTTCCCGGGGGAGCCAGTGGGACGAGGGCGAACTTCTCTGCGGATCCTCTCGGCACCAGAGCCTGGGAGGCTGGGTCTTGGCCACTGTCGGGGTGGATTTGCCTTTGCAGGAGGGACTTCAGAGCCCCCACAGCTCTCTTCACCTCGGAGGCTGGAGCGATTGAGAAAATCCCTCTCCAGCCCATCCTGTTCCTAGGTGTCTCTGGGAAGAAGTGTTCACACACCTCGGGGACTGAGATAATCACAGTGTCCTTGACTGCAGCTGAGCTGGGATCCTCATTTTGCAGCCCAGTGTGGTCCAAGCTGCTGAACTTCTTTCTTTTCCTGTCTTTACCTTTGACTTTTTTCCTGTTTCCTTCTGGTTCATTGAAAAAATACTCGTACAGTTCAGGCCAGGATATTTCCCTTTGCAAGGGTGATCTCCGCCCCTCCACTGAGCTCCCCAGTTCTTCTTCCTCTTGGGAATCACAGAAAAAATAGTCATACATCTCAGGCCAGGTCACATCCAGGGTGTTTGACCTTGCAGAAGCCCCATCTGCAAAGCACGGGGGGCTCAGCTTCCTGGGGATCTCAGGGGCAGGTCCCCAGGGGATCTCAGGAGTAGCAACCCTGGGGATCCCAGCTGCAGTCTTCCTAGGGATGTCAATAGGAGGAGACCTGGGGATCCCAGATGAAGGCTTCCTGGGAATCTCAGGGGCAGGCTCCCAAGGGATTTCAATTGAAGGAACCATGGGGATCTCTGAGGGCTTCCTGGGGATCTCAGCTGCAGGAACCGCGGGGATCTCAGCTGCAGGAACCACAGGGATCTCAGCTGCGGGAACCGCAGGGATCTCAGCTGCAGGGACTCCAGGGATCTCAGCTGCAGGGACTCCAGGGATCTCAGCTGCAGGGACTCCAGGGATCTCAGCTGCAGGGACTCCAGGGATCTTAACTGCAGGAACCACAGGGATCTCAGCTGCAGGAACCCCAGGGATTTCAGCTGCAGCAACTCCAGGGATCTCAGCTGCAGGATCCCTCCAGGCTCCCTCAGCAGCATCCCCTCCAAAAGCTGCCATGCTCTTGGGTTGGAGAGGCTTCCCTGGCATCTCCTGGCATGCCTCTCCCGAAGGAGCCACGGCTCCGTTGTCAGGGATCACTGGTGCACCGTCACGTACGCCCAAGCCACCAGCCTGCCCTGCCTTTGAGGGCTTGGTGGCCTTTGTCTTGCCTGAGGACTGTGCCCCTGGCTCCTTCCCCTTCTGCCTCGGGGGAGCACTCCCAGCTGGATCCTCCTCATCCACGCCAGGGCCGGGCACCGGCGGCTTGCTCTCCGCCGCCTCCTCACTGCTCATCCTCCCCAAAGCCGCCTTGGCCGCCTTCTCCTTCCCTTTGCTCTTCCGAGAGGACATTGGCGAGCCCGGAGGTGCCTTCCCGGGTCCCTGTGTGGGCCCCTGAGCCACAGCCCCCCCAGGCTCCCTGTCCCCCTCGGCAGTGCTGGCCCCTCGCTGCTTGCGGCTCTTCTTCTGCTGCCCTGGCACCTTGGGCCTCACCACGCTGGGGGACCCGGCCGGGGAGCTCTGCTCGGCCCCCGCCCTCTCCCCGCTCGCCTCCTGCGCAGCCCCCAGGGATGGGCTGGGGGGGTCACACGAGGGTCCCCGCAGCTTGGGCTCCGAGTGGGAAGCACTGGGATGCCTCTTCCTGGCAGGGGGTGCTGGTGAACTGCCCCCCACCGGAGTCCCCGGCTGTGCCACCACCTCGCTGCCGTGGGGTTGTCCCCCTCCTGTGTCCCCTCCCGGCTCGGGGGTGCTTGGGGTGCCGGGGGGCTCCACGTCCCGGCTGCCTCCGGCCGCTCCTTTCTCCGCCGCCGCCGCTTCGCCCTCTGCGTCCTGCCCTGGGTTGCCCTGGGCTGTGCCACCAGCCTGGCCAGTCAGGGGGGCTCCAGGGGGGCGAGGGGGCTGCCTCCTCTGTGCGCTGGGCATGGCAGGGCCGGACGGGCAGCCGGGCTGGTCGCTCTCACACAGGAACCTGCCGACCGAGCCCAGCTCCGCTTCGTCCTCGCTGCCCGACAGCAGCTCCGGCGGGGAGAGGTGCCCACCGGCCTGCCAGTGCAGGGGGGTGTCTCCAGGCACCCCACGTGGGGCAGAGCTCCCCGTGCCAGGCGCTGGCTCGCTGCCCTGCCCGGCTGGGATCAGCCTGTCGGGGCTGGCGTGGCCGTCCCCTTGCTCAATGTCACTGAGGCACTGCTCCTCGGCCGTGGCCAGCGAGGCCGGGGCGAGGTTGCACTCCTCTGAGGCCAAGAAGAACTCAGCCCATTCCCTGTCGTTCAGCTGGATGCTGTACTCGAAGTTATCCATGCCTGCAGCGGGAAAGCAAAGTGGGGAGAGGGGGGAGAGATGGGGGCATGAGGAGGTGGCACTAGTGTTGGCAGACATAGGTGAGGTGTGTGCCCCCAATCCTGTCCCCACGGGTTCCTTCCCTGCCATCTGCATTCATTCATCCTCGCTCATCCTCCCATCTTTCCAGCTGAAATTCCAGCTCCTGGCAGACTCAGCAGGATGGGGATGGCTGTGCTGGACCATAACCCAGCCAGCAGTGAGAGAGACCACTGCTACCCCCCTCTGGTCCCTGCTGCCTCTGCTCCCCGAGCATGGCAGCACAGAGGGGTTGGGATTCTCTCCACAGCTGCACAGAAGGGTTGGGATTCTCTCCACAGCTGCACAGAAGGGTTGGGATTCTCTCCACAGCTGCACAGAAGGTTTGGGATTCTCTCCACAGCAGCACAGCAGCATCACACCTCACACACCCCTTTCCTACTCCTCTTGCCTACAACCCATTTTAAAAACTGTGGGATTTCTGTTCCTGCTGCCACAGCATCATGCAGGAGGGGAGCACGAAGCACACTCCAAACAGGACATTCCAGCAAGCCATGGCAGCTCCTTCCATAGCCGTGGCCCCAGGGAGGGACTTGCAACAGAGCCCAAAAGAGTGGGGATCCAGCAGCAGAAGCAGCAGAGAGACCACAAAGCTGAATCCTACCTGTACCCCGACCTAAGGTGGGGATGGAGCCATTCAAAGAGCCACGCAGGAAAATCCTCCCAGCACAACATGATGCCGTACCCTTGACGGGGGCAGAGAGCTCGGCTCCAGCACAGATCCATTCAGGGGCTAAAAATAGACCCCCCCTCCCTCCCCAGCGTGTCACTTGAGAGCCGAGTGCGGTGGGTTCAGAGAGGGCAGGCCCATATATAGAAGCTGGTGGGGGACATGTCAGGGCATCAGCCAATGTGTGTCTGTCCCACAGCCACGTTTGGGGTCCCTGGGACCACTCCTGATGCCCACTGCTCCCTTCTGCCCTCAGCCTGGGATCGCTCCATGGGATGGCCAATGGAGAGGGGGCAAAGGCCTCGGAGCTCACACCTTTCATCACATGAGGGAGTGGGACACCTGGGTGGCAATGACTGTCCTTTTTCCCACACACACCCACCCCTTGCCTCAGTCGTCATTTCCAAGATGACAAAAGCACACCCCAGGGCATGGTTCACCCTCTGAGAGCACTCCCAGGGCACTTACTGCCAGCCTACCGCAGAGTGACATCAAAAGACCACAGTCAGGTCTTGTGACAAACCTTGCAGGGTGCGTGTGGCAGCCGTCCCACGCCGCCCAGGGACACCTGGTCCACGTGCTGGAGGGAGCCTGGGGCTGGAGGCTCTGGGTGAGCCTGGCACGAGGGAGTTACTGGCCGAGGGTGGCCTGGCAGGTCAGCAACCAGAGCCAGAAATAGCCCTCGGCTCCCACGAGCCCCGGAGCTGCCTCCCACCACATGCCCTCCCTGTCCCAGGGGCCAGAAATAGCTGCTGCAGGACAGTGGCTGTGAGTGTGAGCCCCAGCCCAGGGGGGCCAGCACTGACCCAAGGCTCTGGTCACTTCTGCCACCAGGGTGCTGCAGCCCCCACAACTGGAGATGGCCACTGTTGTAGATGCTGTGGGAGCTGAGAGGGACCCACGTGCTCTGCCTACACTTTGGGGGTCCTGCAGATGCTACAGAAGCCAAGAGGGACCCACATGCTCTGCACGCACCTTGGGGGGTCCCATAGATGTTGTGGGAGAGCCACAAAAGACCCACATGCTCTGCAACCACCTCGGGGGTCTTGCAGATGCTCTGGGTGCTGAGAGGGACCCACATGCTCTGCATCCACCTCAGGAGTCTTGCAGATGCTTGTGGGAGTCAAGAGAGTCCCACATGCTCTGCATCTGCCTTGAGGGTCCTGTGGGGATCTAAAAGGGACTCACATGCTCTGAACCCCCCTCAGGGGTCCTGGAATGCTGTGGGAACCAAGAGGGACCCACATGCTCTGCATCCACCTCAGGGGTCCTCAGCCGGGCTGGGGTGCTGGCCATGCCAGGACACACGTTCCAGGGAGCCGGGGCCAGCAGCTGGCTCCGGCTGGGAGGAGGGAACCTCCTGCCCTGTCCTGCCAGCCCTGCCAGCCCCGGCCATCCCGCGGGATGGAAGCTCCCCGTCGTGGCTGCCGCCTCACACTGCACAGCCCGGCAGCGAGCCAGGAGGGTCCAGCCCACCAACAGCTGGAATCGAGGGGTAAATATTGACCAGGACACGCTTCCCTTCTCCCTGCTCCAGGCTGACGCATGCAGGGAGCTTGTCCAGCCGAGAAAATATGGAAGGAAAGAGGTCTGCTGCCTTCCCATCCTATCTCACGTCTGATCTGGCTACACCCTTCTCCCCCTCACACAACTCGCAGACGCAGAAGGGAAACCAACTGGCTTCCTTTTCTTGGCTGCAGTCGACTTCCTTCCCTTTGAGCCCGGCAGCCAGGGTTAGTCAGAGAAACCTTTAAACTCAGCCTTGCAAACCGCAGCAGAGAACATGAAAGGGGCAGAGGCAGCGAGACGGAACTGGGAGCCAGCAGCGGGCTGGCGGCCCGCGTTATCAGCATCACATTGCAAACCCAGCGCCGGGGCAGCCACGCTCCAAACCCCACAGGAACTGCACACACCCCGCCACACGGCCCACCCCGGCCCCCCAGACACAAACAAGTCTCAGCGCAGGAGACATCCCGCTATTTATTTAGCTGTCCAGGGCGAAGCCCGCGCGCGCTGTCCTTGGGGAAATGACACATCTGCCGCCGCTTCCCTGCCTTCCTCCGGGGGGGATAAAAGCCCAGCGTGGCCTTCAAGGGCATGGCACCCTGCCCCGAGGGGCACGGTGCTGCCTGCCAAGGACATCCAGCAGTGGCAGCCTGGACAGCCCGGCTCCGATTTCCTTCTGGCACGTGGTGCCTCTCTGGGATACCTGGCTCCGGCTCTCCCAGGGAGGTGATGCCAGATGCTGGGATTGCCACAGGGCTGCTCCAGCACCATCCAGTGGATGGCACCTGCCGTGGGCAGAGCCAGGAGGGCAGAGCCTCCCAGCAGCTCGTCCCAGCACCTCCAGGGTTGACGCTGTGGTATTAAGGACATTATATAAATAACTAATGTCAATGTGTAATTAGAGATGGGCCTGAAATAAAGCAGCAGATGAGGCCCCTCTCTGTGCCTCATGTCACAGGACACAGCGTGGGAGAAAGAGTCAGGGTCAAGGGCATGGAAAAGGGGTCTAGGGAGGAAAACCAGGAGTGCCATGAAGGGCACTTCCTTTGGGATAAAGACCCGTTCTGTGGCTTCAAGCTCCACATTTGTTACTCCAAGTGTAAAGGGATTTTGACTTCTGGGAAAGGAGCTTTCGGAGCTTTATGGAATAATACTCTGAGATAACCAATTTCCTATCCAGGAAACTCCATTTGGGAAAATTCCACCTTCATGCAGCTCTTAAAACCAGCACTAAAACATCACGAGTATGGGGGTTTGGCTGAATTCACTGTGAGACAACACAGACAGTGCAGAGAAATGTGGGTTTGATTACGAAGACGTCCTCCCTGCCCTGATCTACACCCATCACATGCTGTGTGTGAGGGGAGGAAGAGAGATGAGTTTGCAGGAAAAGCAATGGAAAAAAAATAAAAACATAATGGAAAACGAAATGTGTCCACAGCTTCAGGAGCAAGACAACGTTGGCCCTTGCTGCTTCCAGCTGCCCAGGACAGACTGTGTTTGTGGTTATTTTCTCATGCCTTCTTCCTTTCTGGCTGGATCATCCTTCAGCCTCGGTCACTGATAGTGCCTGGCCTTGTCTGCCTGTCTCTGGCTGGGCTCTGGACTCTGGTCCTCTGCTCTCAGAGCACCAGCCATTCCATCTTGTGATCTCCCCCTCATCTGATGCATTTGTTCCCTTCCATAAATTCCTGTGAGGTACAAACTGTCACATGGATAGCTCAGTCCTCGGATTAGGGAATTCTGAGCTGCTCAGGTACAGCTCTGACCTTGCACCCTCACTGCCATGAGAACTCCCCCCCCCGAGACAGGGAGGGAGCAGACATGGAATCCAGATCTACCCCAGGGAAAGCCTGGGAGGAGCAGCTCCTCCACGCTGAGGAAGGGGTTAACTCTGTGCTGAAACTCGAAGTGCAAGGAAGCTGTAACCACCAGGCTGGTTTTGCTGGTTTGGGGGCAGGTGAGCAGGAATTATCACCCCCAAACCATAAGACTCCCTGCATTGTTTTTGCCTAAACCCTTTAACTATTTTGGTGGATTTTTTTTTTATTTGACTTTTTTTTTTTTTGCCTGAAACTCGCTCCCCAGGCTCTCTTAAAATTCAAGCCCATGCTTCCCGAGCCGCCAGCAGCAGGCTCACGCAAAGGTCAGCCTCTGCTGACTTGAAACTCAGCCTGCACTCTGCCTGAAACTCTGCCAAGCTCTTCCAAAAGCTCGTATCCTGGCCAGAGTTTCGGGTTGCTAATCCAAGTCTCGCTGGGTTTCAGATTTCCCTGCAAGCTTTGGCTTTGCTCTACACAAGAATAGCTCCGGGCCACATCCACGCTGTGCTGGCGGGACCCTTCCAGCCAGGGCAGGGGTGGCAGCCCCGGGGGCAGGGGTGGTGGTTCCAATGCCAGGAAAGCAGGGTAAACAGGGCAGGCAGCTGCCTCAGGGGCACGTGGATGGGCTCAGTATCCGTGATCCTGGATGCACCATCCCTGGGGGACAGGTTCTGCAACGAACTCCCCAGCTCTGCCTCTCTGCAGGGGCTGTGGGACGCTGTCCCTTGCCCCAGGGCTGTGCCCAGAACCTGTCAGGAAAAGCTGCAGCCACAGGGCTGCAGAGAAGTTGCCCAGAGAAGTTGTGGCTGCCCCTGGATCCCTGGAAGTGTCCAAGGACAGGTTGGCCGGGGCTTGGAGAAACCTGGTCCAGTGGAAGGTGTCCCTGCCCACGGCAGGGGGTTGGAACTGGATGAGCTTTAAGGTCCCTTCCAACCCAAACCATGATTCCATGACTGTAGCTGCTCCCACTGCCAGAGGACAGGCAAGACCTAAATCACCACAACACCCATCAGTTCAAAGTTACCCCAGCACCTCATTTTAACCCAAAGTGCAGCACAGTGGCAGCAGGCCAGTGCATGGTCTGGGTGGCTGTGGTGCTCCCGGCTTGGGGACAGCAGCTGTAAGGCCAGGGGACAGCTGTCATGTCACAGCCACCTCGCTTTTCACATTGCTCACTGGTGTGAGAGACAAGCTCTCTCTGCAAGTCATACCCATGCACAGAGAGCTATTCTATTGTGGTTTTTTCACAAGTCCTGAAAAGAAGCTGCTGGGCTGAAGTTCCAACTCTCAGGACTCAGTTTCACCCCTGAATCCAACGGGATCAGTATTTTGCCTGCGGACTCATTTTCCCTGCCGTTTCCACTAGATGTCACTTACAGCCACAAAGTTTGCAGTTTCCCTTGGATTTTTAACCTTCTCCGTGGAGGTTAAAATTCTACGGAGCAGGTCTGTGGTGATCCTAAAAAGGGGTCTTAGGTGTGCAGGACGTTAGGGCTGTGATGGTACCAGAGCAGTCAGGATTGCAGGCTGTAGGGGAGGGTGGTGTAGGGGAAGCTGAGCATCCCATCCAGCTGGTGTGGTGCCTCTAAGGGAAGGGAAAATCCGTGTTCCATAAGGCTGGAAGAGCAGGGTCTTTGCTGACACTGCCTTGAGCATGTTGGGAGCCTCTGCAGCAAGGCTGTCGTGCCCTGTGCTGGAACATTAGATGTTCAGTGATCCACGCAGGTAGGTCACCAGCTGCCACGTGTGGGTGTCCAAATCTCTGAGCCA